CCCCTGCTGGCCATGAGAAAGAATGCAGGTGGAAGCTCTGTCCACTAATGACATACTGTCAGTGCTGCTAATAACTGTTGATGTGATATGTGAGATCTCATCGTGCTCCTTGATGCGCTGCTTTTCACTCCATTTAAACCTTTCCGTCCCACTTCTGCAGGGTCACTTTTCCTCGCCTCTCGGAGCACAAAGAAAACCAGCTCGGGTTGCATTCTGACTGAAAGACGGCGAACACACCCCGCTGAGCCCGGTGGAAACAGGTCAAAGGGTTCCCAGCTGAAACCTGCTCACTGTGACTGATGGACCAACATATCCACCCAGGCCACGTTCTGTACTTCTTTGCAATCTTAAACTGTTAGATTTATACAGCCTCCGTCTCAAACCCAGGGGACCAAAAGTTATAAACGAGCAATTTTGTAACAAATGTTGTACAACACAAGTACAAAAACGCGTGGACAGGGTTGCTGTTCAGTCAGTTAACAAGTGGCTCACTATGAAAGAGTTTTTTGGAGTCGGGTAGGTGTACAAATAAATAAATGTGCTGCAGATTTGGAAGTTTTATCAGTGTCACATGTTGGAGTCCGCAGGCTGCTCTCAACAACAAACAATGCAACGCCATACAAAAACAAAACGATGCTGCCATGACAACCAGATTCATTATGGGCCATATACGCAAGCAAAACTAATCTCCTAATGCTCCAAGAGTGCATAAAGAAGAGTGAGACACTCAGGCAGAGCAGGAGGTGTGATCTTACCTGACACAGGTGACAGCACCATGTTGCCTGACCTTTGAACTTCGTCAAATTTGCTGAAGATGACGTTCAGCCTGCACAGAGGGGGAACAGTGAATTAGCACCAGGTGGTGGTGTGATGGTAAAAGCACCACATTCACAGCAGAATACAAACAGCCCCAGTGCTGCTCTTCTAAAAAAGAACATTTTAGATTCCCCAGAGAGACGCTAAATAGGCCAAAGTAACATCTCAGCGCCCGCAGTCTCCCAATCCAAAAATACACAGGCAATGATGATGGGTCTGCTGGGTAATATTATTAGAACAAACACTAATGATCATAATGTAACACCAGCAAACGGGTGACAGCTGTTGACTCTTTAGGAGAAACCAACCGTCTTTTTAAGGAGCAGTGCCATTTTTTAAAAGTGTAGTTTATTGCGGTGATTTTCTACTTATAATAAATGAATAAATAAATCAAATCAAAGCGAGTTCTACTGACTGAAAAGGTGTGTAGCTTATGTACAGATCCTTTTATATTAACATTATATTAACATGCCCATACTGTACATAAATAATGAAAATAATTGTTAGCTGGAGTCAAGCCGAGTCCTCCACTTTATAGGTTAGTCGTCAGTTTTCAGGGAGCACTTGAACGCACCGCGACTGAGGCAGACCCTTCTTTCCCAGGTCCATTCGCACTCGCTCTCCGACGTGGCGGTAGATCTCTACGAGGCAGTTCATGGCTCCATCACGCACCTGCAGATCGACAATAACGACAAAAACAATAAATGAACACAAATACAGCTACTTTAGTGTGTTAACGTCACGTTTTATCACTTATCGCTATACTTTTCAATAAACTTTATACTTAAAGACAGGACCTTGAAGAGACAGTCCACCCCAAAATCAAAACACATTTCTGTTTTGAAAACCTCAAATATGTAATTTTGAATTTGGGGTGAACTGTCCCTTTAAGGTTCCCTGAAACTCCCCGAGGACTTCACATTAATTATTCAATAATTAAAGGGAATAACAATTAATTATTCACTATGACAGCAAAGAAGTGCTTCTCTCCTAAAAACCCTATTCATTATTATTCATTGTAAATTAAATAATATTGTTTCCTATTTGATCATTAGTTATTATTTAATTTTCTGTATTTT